AGAACTCTCCTGTGAGGAGAACAGACTCCTCCAGAGGTGCATCCCTGTTCTCTGGGGCAATCCAGCAGGGAAGGGGCTGCAGCAGTTCTGGTGCAGAGAGGGGCTAGCTGTCTCCTGGGGCAGGGAAGGTCACCCCAGCCCCAAGAGCCCCACACAGCAATGCCCATCTGCTTCGTGCCCCCTCAGCCAAGCAGGACCTGGCGCTGGATATCCCTTGTCCAATAGGTGCAGGACTTATGCCCATGACCCCTGTCTCTGAGGTAAGCACTCAACAACCCCCCAGGTTGGGAATTGCCTCCTCCTGGCTGCTGGGGAAGGGGTGGAGATGGGTTCTGGGGGTCACATTTTGGTGTGGGCTGGACAGAAATGGAGGGAAGGAGGGGGCACATGGCTGGGTGGCTGGGGATGGCTGGAGTTGCCTGAGTTTCTTCTTTAAAACAACCAAGGCAGAGGTAAGAGACATCTCACTTGCAGGGCCCCTTTTCTGGGGCATTGTGGCTGCCCCTGCAGATAGTGGCAGGGGCTGCACATCCTAGTGCAACCTGGTGTGCATGAGGTGTTGATCCCTCAACTCCCCTTCCTCTGTCTTCTCCCAGCAGCAGAGCACTGTCTCCAAAGTCCCTGCCACCTTCCTCTCCAGAATGTCACAGATGAGCCCAGGACTGGCTCCTGGCTCCAGCCCTTCTCAAGTGTTGCTGCACACAGTGGGCACACAGCTGGGCCCCCTGCAAGTCACCAAGGCAGAGCAGCTGTCCCCCACCTCAGCTTGTGGTGAGTCTGGAGCACCCCAAGGAGCTCCACAGGGCACTGGGGCTCCTGCAGAGAGCTCAGACCAAGCACTGTGGGAATTTTCATTTTGGCTGCAATCCTGGCTATTTCTATTTAATTTGATGAGCATGGAGGTTTCCTTCTGTGCCCTTCCACCTGCTTCTTTCTCCAGCAGCAAAAGCAGAAATAGGGAAAGACAAAAATGGAGCAAAATGTCGGACTGTGGTTTTGAAACCCCGGAGCTTGGTTTTGGAGCAAGAAGCATCCGCTTTCACCCACAATAACCAGTGTGGCTGCTGGAAACCAGGCTCTGGTGTTGTTCCCAGTTCAGTTTGGTGCTGCTCACCACAACCTTGCTGCCCTCACACCTCTTTCCATGCAATTTCCACCCCAAGAAATGCTGGGAATTTAAAACCTCGAATCCCAGATGTTCCCATTTCTGAACAACTGTAAAATGAGAGGGACTTGGGATAATGTGTGCTTGGAGGCTGAAGAGGAGCATCCCAATCAGCTGAGTGGGGTGGCTTGTCCTGAGGTGGGGGCAGCACTGTGGGATGCCCCTCTCTGCCTGCCCCAGGTGCTGAGATGTCACCTTGTCATGAGTGCTGTTGCTATCCCTCTCTTCAGAGCAGCACCTTCCCTTTTTCAGGCAGTGACTGGCCCAAGCCCAGCCAGGCTTCCCCAGGACCCACTGCAAGGCAGGGCACTAGCATCTCCCTGCACCAGCCCATGTCCCGTCCGGGAAGGCCTGAGTCCACCAAGGTATGGCAGAAGCTGCCAACTTTATATGCACCCGCTTTTCCTCCTCCCCCCAAGACACCCTCCACCCTCACTTCAAGCTTTGGACCAGCCTGTTCCCAGTGGGGCTGCTGGCCCATGGCTGTCCCTGCTGCGGGGAGGTGCCTGATGGCGCTGACCTGCAGCTGGAGAGCCGCCGCATCACACACATCTCCGCTGAGCAGAAGAGACGCTTCAACATCAAGCTTGGCTTCACCACACTGCACAGCTTGGTGAGCACACTGAGTGCTCAGCCCAGCATCAAGGTGAGAACCCAGGGCCAGCCCTGGACATGGAGGGACACGGCACATCACCCAGAGACACTGCATCCCTGCTGTGACCCACAGCTCAGAGCTCCTCTCCTGCACCCCAGCCTGTGGTGCAGGAGGCTGGAGCACACAGCAGGCACACAGTGCAGCTGTGTGAGGGTGGTCTGGGCCCCCTTCCCGTCTCACCCCACGCCCCCCCAGGTCAGCAAGGCCACCACCCTGCAGAAGACAGCCGAGTATATCTGCAAGCTGCAGCAGGAGCGGGCAGCTCTGCAGGATGAGGCACAGCGTCTGCGGGAGCAGATCGAGGAGCTCAATGGCTCCATCAAGTAAGGGGGGCGTGGCTGGGGGAGATGGGGGAGCACTGCCTGCTTTGGGGTAGCCAGGCAGGGCAAGCAGCAGGATATGGCAGGATGGCAGCAGGACATGGCAGGTCTCCCTGGAGCACCTCCCAGCTGACTGTCCCTCCTCAAACCCTCTCTGTGGGAGGGCTGATGTTCAAGAGGCAGGACAGAGGCAGGGCCAGGTCTTACACCTGCCCTGGGAGGGGGACATTGGCTGGCAACTCCTGCTGAGTTTCCATAGCTCCCAGTCCCGAACATGGCCCCACAATACTGGTTGTGCCCCACAGCCTGTGCCAGGAGCAGCTGCCGGCCACAGGGGTGCCCATCACACGGCAGCGCTTTGACCACATGCGCAGAATGTTTGACGAGTATGTTCGCTCCTCCACGTTGCAGAACTGGAAGTTCTGGATTGTATCCTTCGGGGCCAGTGCCTGCTGCTCCATCCCACCCTCCACCAGAGGCACCAGGTGCTCTGGTTCATCCGCTGCTATTGGGTCTTCGGGGTCCCTCAAGCTCAGGAGGCTTTGGGGATGACAGGGAGATGATTCCCAGCCAAAGTCGCATGGTGGGAACATGCTGATATTCTGTGTTTAGGAGGGATATTCTGCTCCAAGGGATCAAAAACAGTTGGTAAATGGTCCTCAGGGAGAAGGGAAGTGGAGCTAAGCTTATGGAGGGAATTGCTCTCGATGACATGGGAACTGGCTCTGAGAGGCAGCAGCCATGGATTAGGAAAGGTTCAGACACAAAGCTGTGGACATGATGGCTTGGTCTTCGTGGTTGCATGCCATACCCTGGAAGCACAGGAATGGGAGGAGGATCAAGGGCCAAGGAACCTGTGGGCAAAGAGCTGGATCTGTTCCTCTCTGAGCACAATTTAGACACACTGGGACTCACTGGCAGAGCCTTTGAGGTGTGTGAAATCCCAAGTGGCAGAGTGATGAAAGGCACTGCTGCCCATGGTCCCATCCAGCACAGGGCATCTGGACCAGGCAGAGGTGACTTCTGATGCAGGGCTGGGGAGCTCCTTCCTCAGGACACAGAGTATCGTAAAGCCAACATGGGCTCTAGGATATGCTTGTGATAGAGGTATCCCTGTGGATTACTGCCTGCACAAAATCTGCAGGCTGGTCCCTGCAGGTTGGAAGCAATAGGGGAGCTTATGGGACACACTGATGTCCTGCCTTGCCCCGGAGCACTTTGCTAGCTTGTTCCCTGACCTGCTCTGGAGGACGTCTTCTGTCTCAGCAACCTTTTCTGTAGCCCCAGCCATGACAGGGCTTTTGCATCTCTCCCACTGCCTACCCAGGTGACACTTATGCCATCACCCTAGCAGTTTGGGCTAGTGCCAGGTGAGGTGCTGTGCTGGGAAGGCAGTCAGCAGGTCTGTTCCATGGCCTGTCCTGCTGTCCCAGCAGTTCTGCTCCGTGTCCAGACAAGAAAGTCTGTCCTACTGCCATATGAGGGTGATGCCCACACCTGGGAGGAGTGAGACCCTTGTCATAGCAAAGCTGGTCCTTAACTCCTCTGATCCCACCAGTTCAGTGTCATCATCCGGCCCCTCTTCGAGTCTTTCAATGGCATGGTGTCCACAGCCAGCATGGAGAGCCTCACCCAAACATCCCTCGCTTGGCTGGATCAGCACTGCTCCCTCCCAGCGCTTCGGCCAAGTAGGTGACCCTGTGCCTGGCAGTGGCACCCTGAGCAAGTTGGGTTGGCATGGACTTCTCAGTCCAGGAAAGGCATCCTCAAAAGGCAGAGGGGAAAAGAACAGGGGTGTCCTGGGGGATAGCAGGGCTGATCTGTGGGATGTCCTTGGGCTCCTGCTCAGTGATTTCCCGTGCTCCTGTCACACCCACGCCCCGGCTGAGCCGGAAGTGTCCTAACTCCATGTCCTGGTAGGGCAGGCTCAGCCCTGCCCAAAGGCCCTCAGCCCTCCCCAAACCCACTCTCAGGGAAGGTTTCCTTCCACCGCGTCTTCTGGGGCTGTGGAAGCGACCAGTCCCACCATTCCGGGGGCTGGAACAGGGCCAGGCAGCGCCGTGTTCCCCAGGATGGGTCACGCCTTCCAGCCCCGTCCCCTATCCCCGCAGCCGTCTTGAGCTCCCTGCGGCAGCTGAGCATCTCCACGTCCATCCTCAGCGACCCGGCCCGTGTCCCCGAGCAGGCGGCGCAGGCAGTGGCGGCGCTGGGACGCTCTGGCGGCGCTGGGACGCCCTCCATCTGACTGCTCCAGGGGCTCCGGGGTGTCCCACGGGCACCGGCGTGGGGAGCCGGGACTGCACGAGGGCTGTTCCGCCCTGTCCCCCTGCAATAAAGGACTTGCTGTGCCACGGACTCCGCCTGGTTCTTCAGCCCCGGCGCCGCTTTGGGCACGGCCGGGAAGGGCCGGGACTGAGCGGGATGACACCGGAAGCCGTGAAAGCCGGGACTGGGAGTGGGGCCAGGGGCTGGGGGAAATGAGGGAAACCGAGCTTGGGGGCAAGTGAAGGAAGAGGCTGTGGCGGGGGGGAATGAACGGAGGTGCGGGCAGCGGCTGGCGGGGGCAGGGGGCGGGGTTAAGGGAAGAGCTGGGGGGGTTGAGGGCCGGGACCTGGGGGAGCAGGAACTGGAGGAGAGCCGGGATTGGGGAGCATGAGGGCGGGGACCGGGGTGGGGGGGACGTAGAAGCTGGCATGAGAGGAGCCCGGGCTTCGTCGAAGGCACGGGCTGGGGTGCTCCGGTGCTGGGGGAGTGTTAGAAGAGGGTCTGGGGGGGTTTACGGGGCTTTGTGGGATGCAAGGGCTGAGAACAGGGACTGGGGGGGGAGTGAGGGGTGTCCTTTGCTGAATGGGGGACGGCCGGGGCGGGGGGTGCAGTACCACCGCCAGGGGCCGCCCTGCGCATATTACCGGGGCCGCGTATGCGCACACGGAAATTTCACTCCCTCCTGGTACCAGCCGCTGACGCGGCGGCGGGAATATGGAGGCGGTTGCAGGGCTGGGCGGGTCGGTGCTGCCAGGCGCCCTCATCGTCCTCATGCTTGTCCTGCTGCTGGCGGTCGCGCTGCACCGCTCTGCTTCGCGGGAGACTCCCACCGCCCCGCAGGACGGTAAGTACCGTGCGGACAGTGGGGCACCGGGCAGCGCTGAGCGGAGCGTAGCTGAAGCGTACCCACCGACCGACCCCTCCGCTCCCGCAGAACCCAGGGCG